CCGTCGGAGGTTCTGCACATGCCGCCACCTCTGCCATGTGGGCCTGTCAGCACTGCACCTTCATGAACCAGCCAGGAACTGGCCACTGCGAGATGTGCAGCCTCCCCAGGACCTAGGGCTCCGGCCCTCTGCTGGGTGGGACTGGGCCAGCCCAGCCCTCCAAAGCCAGGAGCTCAAGGTGTGCCCCGCAAGGCTCAGAGCTGGCAGCCCTGAGGGGTGGGGCCCGCCACCCTGGCACCCAGGGAAGCTTCTTGGCACCAATCCCAGAGAGGGAGCTCAGCTAATGTGCTGGGGCTGAGTAAAAGCCGACTGGAAACAGTGTCCCTGCCTGAGAACACCACGCACGCCTCACCTAGTCAACAGTCCCCCGCCGTGGAAGGATTGGGCACCTCCAAATAATCACTTGAAATTGGTGGTGCAGGGAGGGTTGCTTTCTTTTCCTTCCTCTTCGATGCTTTCTGTTCTGTCCCCCGCTTGATTTTTTTTTTTTTTTTTTTTTTTTTTGGGGGGGGAGTGCCTGGCTACCTCTGTTCTGTTGCTCTGGAGCAGAGGTCCTGCCTGTGCCGGCCACAGCCTCCTGCTCAGCCTGCAGGCTAGTGCGCTTTCTCATCTTGTACCAGGCGGAAGTTTAGAGTCTGTGCTGGTTGCAATAACAGTTTTCAGCAGTTCCTTCCCAGAAGACTTTTATTTATTGTTTTTAAGATAAAACTGCACAACAGGGATATGAGAGAGACTAGTTTCCACTTCTTCCCCTCCTTAAGCGCAGCCCCTCCTGGGAGTTCAGGTGGTAGTGGACGGGTCCCACTGTCAGTCCTCCTATGAAGCAAACCTCAGTGCCTGAGACTTTTCTACCAAGTCACACAGCTGTGGCAGCTGGCGATATGGGCAGCTGAGCAGGAGCAGAGTGGTGGCCCTTGCCTGGTGGGCAGTCCCTCTAGATAGCCTGGATGGGTGAACACCAGGGCCCCGATTTCCTCCCACAGCACCATTCCTCTACCCACAGCACCATTCCTCTACCCATAGCCTTGCCAGGCCTTGGTCTGGAATAGTGCTTTGGCCATTGAAACAGGACCTCTGTGGAGCCTGGAAAGTTGATAGCATGCACACAGTGTGAGGACCAGGCAATCCATGAGAGTCCTAATGGTCTCTAAGTGTCCTCCACAATAGGACTGGGGCACAGGCCTACCCCAGGCGAGCCGAGGGCGTCTTGATGCCTCTTTGCCTTAACAAGAGCCAAATTAGCTGTGCTGCACCCAGGGAAAGGCCGGCCCAGCCAGACTTCCTGGAGGCTTGTGTGTCTGTCGCGTAGAGAGATGCACCCACAGCCCTCCCCATCCTTGGCCATGTAGACAGAATGCTTGCCTGCTGGGCTCTCTCATGGCAGGGCTGTGGCCAGAACCCTCAGGTGTACCTGGCATGGCATCCCCGCTGGAAGGCCCAGGTTTCTTCTGATCCTGGAGCCACAAGCCCATTAGGTTGGCCTGGCTGCAGCAGGACTGTAAAGCAAGCAGTCTCCCCCCATCTGCCACACATTATGGAGGTGTGGAGGGTCATCTGGTCTGCCTGCTAGGAGCTGTCTTGGCTGGGGCTTTGCCTTCCCTGTCTTACCTGGTCCCTGAGGTCAGCTGTGAGCCAAATGGCCTGGCTGGCTGCTTACCTGTCTCCAGGGCCATTCACACCAGTGCTGTTGCCCTGCCTGGGCAGGTACTGGACAGCACAGACTTGTGGAGACTCACTGCCCCAACACCTGTGTTCCTCTCCACTTGCTCTCGTCTTTATCCACCAAGCTAATTTCCATTTCTCAACCAATAGTTTTTCTCACTCTGCAGTTCTGGCATCCATGCAATCCATGTTTTCTTTTTGTCTTTTAGCTAAAGAAAGTGTTGTGATATCGCTGCTTATGGTTTTGAGTTACTCTGTTCAATAATGCACTTTATTTTATCGTCCAAAGAGAGTCAAGCTCATGCTGCTGGCTTGGGGTGAGCCCTGCTGAGAGCACAGGCCTGGGAGGCCCAGGCACCACCTCCTGCTCAGGAGTGACCCCTGCCCATCTTGCATTCCTGTGGACATTCCCTCATGTCAACAGGCACCCCATTCCAGAGGGGTGCCTGAGCACACACCTTCCCAGGCGAACACAGTGGGTGCCTCGGTCCCCTCTTGGCCCTGGTCGGTCCTGCCTACCCAGCCCACCCCCAGCCAGTCTGTTCCTGGGACATAGGTGCTCTGCTTTGGGCTCACAGGTGTGCATCACCTGGGTTTGGACTAGCATTACCCTGACCCCAGCCCTGCAGTGGAACCTAATAAAAAGCGCCTGAAGCGACTGCCCGCTCCCAGCGTGTCCTTCCTGTGCGCTGAACAGTTGTCCACAGGCCCTGTCTGGTGTCTAATCTGGGTAAGGTGATTAGATGACTTGCCCCCAAGACTCTCATTGTTCTCATTGATGTGTTTGGGCCATTTCAAGCTGGGACCCAATTTCCCTGGCCCATTGCTCCGCTGCAGGGCTCCTGGGCACTGTTCGTATGTGGGTGGAAGGGAGCTGTCCAGCCTCCCTGAGATGCCTTTTCTGCCTTGAGTCTGTATGTCCTGGACAGGCAGATGAGGCCAAGCAGCAGGTGAAAGTGTCCAGGCAACCTAACTGCCCAGGTGCAGTGAGGAGCAGGGCTGGAGCTTACTGCTGTCTCCCAGGGACAGCCAGAGAGGTCTGGCCTGCTCCTCTGACTTCGGTGTCAGCCTGCTTCCACAGCTCAGCACCACTCAGTCCTCAAGGCAGGGACTCATCTGCACCCTGGGAAGCCACTAAAAAACAGCAGCTGTAGGGGCTGGGGTTGTGGCTCAGTGGTAGAGTGCTTGCCTCACATGTGTGAGGCACTGGGTTTGATTCTCAGCATCACATACAAATAAATGAATAAAGGTCCATCGACATTAAAAAGTATTTTTAAAAAAGTAGCTGTGTCTGAAAGGGCTCCTCCCAGTAGGTGACCCAGCTGCCTTTGAGCAGCTGAGTGGTGCTGAGTGCTCATCATCCACAGCTCCCTGGTGTTGCTGGAGCTGCCATGCTCAGCCCTCGTAGGGCTTGGGCTGTTCAGTATGACCCAGCAGCTGGCCTTCACACAGGGCCTATGAAAGCCCGAGTAAGAGGGACTGGAAGTCCAGATGCCTTTGTCCTCCAGGTGCTGCAGGCCAGGAGGCTCTGGGAGGCGCCTTCCTCCCTATCCTCACCTAAAGAAGTGAGATTGAACTGCTTGGAAGCAGAACTGGGGACTCTGGCACCCAAAGTCCCGGTCCCCACCCTGCAGGTTTTTGCACCTCTGCCATAATCTACAGCTTCCACACACCATGGTTTTTCTTCCCACATCTGCCCCTGTAATTCTTGAGCTCCACTATGCTTGTCCTTTGTGAGGCCACAGTGCCCCAGTTTGGCAGAGTCACTGACCTCCAGTGACAGGCTCTGCAGTAAGGGGTGTGTGCACTTTCCACTCCCCTGGCAGAGCCCCGGCTAGGGCATGGCCTTGGGCCCTTCCCTCGTGCCTTTCTCACCCCAGGCACCCAGTGCTCAGGTCTACTCTGTTTAGACTGGAGGGAGCCAAGAGCTGGCCAGCCCCCAAGCCAGAGGAGTGACATACCATGAGGCCTGCTGGCTTGCCCACCTCCCATATCCACTTCCTCCCCACATGGTCACCTTCTCTATCTGCATGTTTTCTCCTATTTTGGAAGCCACCTGGTTATCCTGAGGCGTGTGTGAGCTGGTGACTGACAAGAACCAGGGTCAGGCTTGGAAGGTTAGAATTGGTGATCAGAAGACCCCCAAGGGATACTTGTGTGCTCTGGGGGAAATTCAGAGTGACAGGCTGCTGAGGAGTGCTCTCACTCTACCCCACCCCCATCCTTCCCCTCAACAAGGGAAGCATTTCCAGGCAAAACGCCATCAGACTAGCCCAGGAGTGCAGAGTGAGCTGAGAACCCTCACCTGGTTAGCACCTGGCACAGATACACTCGGAGCTAGCCCACCCCCTACTCATTGGGGAGTCTGGACTGGCCACTGGTCATGTTGGCAGGTACACCGGAACTGGGTCATATTCCAGCCTGGCACACATTCTGGACATTCTCCAGCTGGACCTTTTACATGTCAGGCCTGCTGTGCCCCAGATGGCTCCTTGACTTCCAAGTGTCTGGCCTTGAGACTTTTCTGATGAAATAATAATAACTACTACTACTATTATTATTTAATAAGAGCTATGGTCTTGCTGTGCTGCTAAGTCTGGCCCCCAAACTCCTGGGTTCAAGTGATCCTGCCTCAGCCTCCTGAGTAGGGGGAAGCCCAGTCTCTGCCTGGCTTCAGGTGGGCTTTATGGAAGGTGGAGGATCCTGGTCTTTCACTTGGGGGATTCGTGTAGAGCTGCTCTCTTGGCCCCTGGTTGCAGCTTCTGGAGCAAGCGGAGAGAACTGCCAGGAGGGAAAGTGAAGATGTCCCCTGGCCTCCCCCTTGCTTCCTCCCCCAATCTCAGCTGGTCATTTCCTTTGCGGTGCTCTGACCCTAACTCAGAAATCCCTTTGGCTTCCCTACGTCCCCACGTGTTCAAGCGTTGCGCTTGTCTGGCTCAAAGCCCCTAGAGTCCTGAGAACGGGGTCCTGCGTGGTGCTGCTCAATGAGCAGAGGGAAGAGACCCAGCCCCTGACAGAGGGCGCCGGGGTCGTGGCGAGAGGTGGCGCTGACCCCACCCTCTCGCCTGCTGGACTCCTCGTTGCCTCCCAAGTCCTAGAGATTCCAAAGCCCGTTGACACTGCGCGCGGGAGAGCGGGCAGCGGCCACTCCTCCGCGGCGCGGCGCATCGGGACCGCCCCAGCTCTCCAGGAGCTCCCCGCAGCGCGCAGCCCGGCCCCGCCCCCGCAGCAGGCCCGCCTCCGGGCCGGCCCCGCCCCCGCAATGCCGCTTTACGGCGGAGGCCGCGCCACGCCGTGGGCGGCCGTAAAGCGCCCCCAGGCGGCACCGCCCCCGCCGGGCTCCGCGCTGGCCGTCCGCCCGCTCGAACAATGGCTGGCGGTACGCCCCGCGTCCACTACCTGGCGGGCTTCAGCTGCCCGCTGGGCGGCCTGGCGGCGGGAAAACCCCGCGTGCTGTGCCACGAGGCGGACGTCTTCCTGTCCACCGGGAGCGAGTTCGTCTATGTGTACGACCAGGAGGGCGGGCTGCTGACCGTGAGCGCCGGGCCGCGGGCGGGCGGACGGGCGGCGGGCGGGGCTGGGGTCCGCTCAGCAGCGAGACCCCGCCAGGCGTGCGCCTGGCCTGACCACACTCCCCTGGCGTCCAGGCGGTTTACCGGTTCCCGGACCAGGTGTGGCACCTGCAGCTGCTGGCCCCTCGCAGGGCGCTCTACGTCCTGTGCGCCCGGAGGGGCATCTACTGCCTGTCGCTGGACACCCCCAGCAGGTGAGGGGTGGGCGTGGCCCCGTGCGTCCTTGTCCGCCGTGGGGCCACCGTGGCCTGCACGGCATCTACTTGTTCACACATCCCCCTGTGACTGCACGGACTTTACTCCTGGATGGGTCCAGAGGGACGGCCCACCATCGCTGCGCTGGAGACGGAGGGCTGTGCGGGGCGTGAAATCTCGGCGGGTTTTTGCCACACTTGCAGCCCCTCACACCCAGCACCTGTGCTGCCGTGTTCTCCAGGAGCTCCTGCTGGCAGGGAGTCCTTAGCTAGTGGGTCCAGGAGACACCTCCCCAGCCGGCCAGCAGGCCTGCTGTTGGTCTGGTGGCTCTGGCCGGGACCCTTAGAAGCAGGTGTGCTGGCTGCTGCTGTGTGAGGTGGAAAGGCAGCTTGTGCAGCTATCTGAACTGTCAAATGTGTCCTGAGCCGTCCGTGGGAGTTGGGAGGTTGTGTGGCCAATGGCCTGTTGAAGGGCTGACGGTCACTGTGGAGACCCTTCGGCCCTCCCTGCGAAGACCCCTGCCCAGCCTGTTCCCAGGCGGGTTTTCGTGAACAGTCTGCCCCGTCCATCCTGACTGGTCCCGTTGTTCCCGGAAGGTCTGTGAGCCAGGCCAACAAGGACAGTGAAGAGGATGAACTCCCTTACCCTGTGATGCCCGTGGACCCGGATGCCTGCGTCCTCCCCGATGCCACACTCTGTGCGTTCACTGTGCTGGACGACATGCTTGTTGCCCTGGCACAGGGCCCCACCCAGTGGAAGATGCAGCTGTTTGAGCACCCCTGTTTAGGGGAAGACCCCCAGCCAGGGGGCCAGATCGGTGAGGTGGAGTTGTCCACCTATACCCCCGAAATTGGTATCCCAGGAAAGCCCACAGCCCCCCACTTCCTGCCAGTGCTGTGCTGTTTGTCACTGCCAGGCTCCAGAGCACCACATGGTCACCCCCAGGCCTGTGGAGGCTTCACACTAGAGGAGGCCCTCTTTGGGCTACTCTTTGGAGCTGATGCCACCCTCTTGGAGTCGCCTGTGATCCTCTGTGGTCTTCCTGATGGCCAGCTCTGCTGTGTGGCCCTGAGGGCCTTGGTCACCTCTAGGTCAGCCCCTGGTGACCCCAAGGCCCTTGTCAGGATCCTCCATCACCTGGAGGAGCCTGTTGTCTTCATTGGGGCCTTGAAGACAGAGCCACAGACTGAGGAGGCTGTGGAGAGTGAGCTGTCCAGTATGGAGGTCCACTCTGACTGCCTCGTAGCCCTTGGTCACCATGGCAGGACGCTGGCCATTAAGGCCAGCTTTGACAAGTCAGGGAATCTGGTGCCAGAGCTTCAAGAGTACTTCCTCCCGGGGCCAGTGCTCTGTGCTGCCTGTGGTGCGGGTGGCCGCATATACCACAGTACCCCCTCGGACCTCCGCGTGGTGGATTTGGCTCAAGGAAGCGTCCCCTTGGACCCTCAGCAGCCCAACAGAGCCCCTGGAAGCCTGCCGCCCACACTGTGCCCAACCAGCTTGAGTGTCTGCAGTGTCCTCACTGTCTCTGTGTCACCCAGGGCACCTGCAGGTATGAGTGGCTGTTCAAATGTGGAGAGCCAAAGCTGTCAGGGGCTCCCTCTTGGCACTCTCCCTACGGGTTGGCCTGTCCTCTTCTGTTTTCTCATCGGCCACAGCCTGCTGGCACGGGGCCAAGGAGCAGCATGTGTGTCTCCTTCCGGGACCTGAGCAGGCCACTGCTCTGCCTGGATGGACTATCATCCCTCACTCGAGTGGCTGCTCAGAGCATGTGGCAGTGCAAGAGCACCTGTGGCGGGTCTCAGAGCAGGTCATGCCTGCATGCGTCTTCTGAGGGCAGGGACACACTTTCAAGCCTGCATGTGCTTGTGGGCTGCTCCAGCGAAGGCAGGGCTCTTGAGCTAGGGAGTGTTTTAGCTGTGTGTGCCCAGTGTTGGCCAGAGCTGTGTTGGGGCAGGCCAGCCTCAGCAGAGGCAGCCTTTGTCTCCTGTGGTGGCCCTGGCTGTCTGGAAGCCCCATGAGGATGGAGAGGAGGGGGACCTGGCCTCCATGGAGCACTTGTATTTGAGAAGCTCAGAACAGCCTTGCTCTTTGTGGCCTGTTGAGGGCAGACTGTGCCCAGAAGACATGGCCGCACCCAGTGTCCTCCTGTAGCCCTCTTTTTTTTTTCTATTCACGTCTAACAGAACCAGATGCTGCCACGGTGCCACCTCTGTGTTGGGCTGATAGCCCATCTCAGGGAGGCCTGTCAAATGTGTCAAAGACCCCTGGGCAGCGTCTCCCTCCTTGGGACAGTGCCTTGGCGCTCTGCCAGTGCTTGTCTTGGCACCTGGGACAAACACTTCTGAATGTCCTCGCAGCTGCCAACCACTGAGCAGCCCTATTTGTGTCCATTGTCAGGTGAGACTGAGCTCCTGGCTCTGTCTGCCAAAGGGCGCCTGATGAGCTGCAGCCTAAGCCCCAAGAGTCCTGGTCCCACCAGAATGACTTCAGCAAGTGCAGACCGGAAAATCAAGGAACTGCTCTCTGGCATCGGCGACGTGTCTGAGAGGTGAGCAGTGATCTCCGGCTCAGTGGAGCTGGCGTTGCACCCTGAGCAGAATGTCCTTGACTGGCTGTGGTCTGTGTGGATCCCAGAAGAGAGACCCTTCTTCTCAGGTAGGACCCCGCTCCTTTTCCCCGCTAGGGGGCACAGGAGACCCCACCACTTCCTTAGCCCACAGACTCCCCTGCTCAGAGGACTCTGCCTTCCTGCTCTTCGCAAAGGCCACCATTGCTGCTGGCCCAGGGATGTAGGAGAGTACACTCCAGGTCCATCGGGCTCCTCTTGTCTTCCCCTGGCTCCTCTGGTCCTAGAGCATACCCCATAGGCTCCAGGTCCCTGTGCCCTCCATTCCTCCCTGCCCTTGTCACTGTGGAGCCCTGGAAAGGAGACAGGCTGATTAGGAACATTTCTGGGGCAGCTGAGGACAGTGCCAGGTAAACCCCATCTGTAGTCGTGACCCTGAGTGTCTGATGTGGGTGGAAACTTCTTTGAACCAGGGGCTGGCCCAGCCCCACAGAGCACTGCCCAGCCCCTGACGTGCTCCATCATGTGCCTTGCCTTCTGTGGCCGAGAGGAGGGGGGCAGCTTCCAAGGGGTCCTGGTGTGGGCGGGACGAGGCGAGATGCTCTCCAGGCCTCACCCCTGAGGCTTGGCTCACAGCCTCGCTCTGCTAGCTGTGGAAGCAGGTTCCGGTCCCTCCCCCTCGGAAGTCCAGGGGCTGGGCTCCCTGCGGTCTCCTCCCTTCCCTGAGCACCATATCTGCCCTTCGCAGAGTGTCCTTTCTGAAGAAGGCAGTTGATCAACGGAACAAGGCCCTGACGAGCCTCAACGAGGCCATGAATGTGAGCTGTGCCCTGCTGTCCAGCCGGGAGGGCCCCCGGCCTATCTCCTGTACCACCACCGCCTCCTGGAGCCACCTGCCCCCGCAGGATGTGCTGACAGCCACCTGCCTGCTACAGAACAGCGGGGACTTCAGCCTGGACCGGGGCTGGACCTTGTGCATTCAGGTGCTCACCAGTTCCTCTGCCCTTGACCTGGACGCAGCTGGCTCAGCTGTCACCTACACCATCCCTGTAGACAGGCTTGGCCCTGGCAGTCAGCGGGAGGTGACACTGCCCCTGGGCCCGACTGAGAGCGGTGTGCTTGACCTACCTGTGACCGTGTCCTGTGCACTCTTCTACAGTCTCAGGGAGGTGGTGGGCGGGGCCTTGGCCCCCTCAGACCCCCTGGAGGACCCCTTTCTGGAGGAGCATGCCCTCGACCTCCTTCCTGAGCAGGAGGGCATCTGCCTGCCTCTGAGCAGGCTTACAGTGGACATGCTGCGGTGCCTGCGCTTTCCTGGCCTGGCCTCACCCCACACACAGGCGCCCTGCCTGCTCAGCCCGGCCCGCAACCCTGTGGACACTTTCCTGGAAGCCTGCTGTGGGCCTAGCAGTGAGCCGACTGGCCCTGCCTCCCTGCGGGCCAAGTACTTGCCCCCATCGGTGGCCTCCATCAAGGTGTCAGCTGAGCTGCTCAGGACTGCCCTGGAGGATGCTCACTCAGGTTGGTGGAACCACCTGGCTTCACCTTGACCTCAGGGCCTCTCCCCGTCCCCCCCAAGCTGCACCCCATAGCTGGCCTCTTCCGCCTGCGCTGCCGCCGCATTTCTCTGTTAAACTGGGCTTCTTGAACCCTGCATGTGGAAGCCCGGCCTGAACAGAGAGTCGGAGGCATCACCAGGGAAATTTTGCATGGCAAGCACCCAGGGGCCAGCCGGCCCAGCCCCCAAGCCCATGGCCCAGCTTGGCAGAACTGTGTCTGGGCCCTGCGTCTGCCTTGCATTGCCACCGGGTGGGTGAACCCTTCACTGTGTGGTGCTGGATCTTCTGTCAGGATGGTGCCCTGTGTCACTGCTGCCGCTCTGCTGCTGGAGGGTGTCTGGCAGCCTCTGGGGCTGGCCTGCACAGGGAGGGAGTGGCAGCCACCCTCACTGGATGCATCCCTGCAGCAGAGCTGCCTGCTCTCAGGGCCACACCCGGGCACTGGCAGGCTTCCTCCACGGTGGAGTTCTGACTCAGTCAGCTGCACTACTTTGCCACCACCCCTTGGAAAGCTGCTTCTTGGGGAGCTATCCTGGCTCTCTGCTTGGGGTGGGCTGCAGAAAACTGGGACACTTAGATGGCACTGAGAAGGGGACATTGCAGGAAGCCACCCAGGTGTTAGCAGGACCCACCTGAGCTCCTGATGGTGCTTCTGCCCTCCAGGTGTCCCCCTTTGCAGTGCCACCTTGCAGTGGCTGCTTGCTGAGAATGCTGCTGTAGACATCGTGAAGGCCCGGGCACTGTCTTCCGTCCAGGGGGTGGCCCCCAATGGCACTGACATCCACCTCATCATCCGTGAGGCAAGCAGGGGGTCAGTTCACCTGTCCGTGGGGAATCGGCCTGACTGCCAGCGACTCTCAGAAGGGGGTCCCTGGACCAGTGGTGCTGGGAAGTTCAAGAGGAATCAGACTCCTGATTCCCCTAGGAGAAGCTGAGCCCCAGACCAGAGGATGCCCAGCACTTCTCTCTCACACCCTGCTCCCCCACCTGCTGGACTCACTTCCAGCAGATCCTCTGGTGCTACTTGCCACTGTCAGACGCTGTTGCTGAGTAGTTTGGGGTGCCCTTAGAATCAAATCGATCCATTCCCCCAGACATTGCCTCCTTGCTGCCCACTACTCAGCCCCTTCAGACCCAGGCTGGACCGGCATCTAGGTCAGAGCATCCCTGCAACCTGAGGCTGGGGTCAGGCAATAGCTCTGTCCCGTGGAGGGGTGCTCGCAGCCCTGTGGAGGAGCCTGCAGTGACCCAGGCTCCAGGTCTTGCCCCACATCTGTGTCTGGAGAGCCGGTTCCTGAAGGGCACTTGGTGGTGGCAAAGACTCCACACCTGATCCTGCTGTCAGAGGTGGGCTGTGGCACCCAATGTGGGTGTGGGAGTGTGGCCTGCTCTACAGTGGACTTTCAAGAGCATGGGCATTGCCCAGATGTACAGGGCCTGGGCACAGCTCCACAGTGAAGTGGTTTCCACAGTCTGGATCCTGAGGGTCTTCCTGGACGTGTTCTTCTCAGACAACCAAGTATCTTGCTATCAGTTCTTGGCTGTCCCCAGGCCAGGGCCCTTCTGACCCTACCCCTACCCACCTTCAGGGTGTAGAGTGGTGCCCAGGCAGGGAGTTGGGGCTGCCCAGGCAGGGAGTTGGGGCTGCCCAGGCAGGGAGTTGGGGCTGCCCAGGCAGGGAGTTGGGGCTGCCCAGGCAGGGAGTTGAGGCCACCCAGGACCTCCCTTACTGGCAGCTTGGGAGGCTCTGTTAGCCTGAGCCCTCCAGGGCAGCACAGGGGCTGCCAGCAAGACCTGCCTGTGTTACAGGTGGCTGTGACTGACCTGTGCCCAGCAGGGCCCATCCAGGCTGTGGAGATCCAAGTGGAGAGCTCCTCCCTGGCAGACATGTGCAGAGCACATCACGCCATTGTTGGGCGCATGCAGGTACAGTGGTTGGTGTGGGCTGGGGAGGGAGGCTCTGAGGGCTGCAGGTGGGCTGTGGAGACTGGCTGAGGTACCACACGGCTGCAGGCCATGGGGTCTGTGACCACCACTGCCTCTGCTGGCAGATGCAGTGCTGTAGAGACATGTGAGTGAGCGCTTCCTCGCAGACAGGCCACTTTGCTGTGCCATCAGCCCGATGTCACCCCAAATCCAAAGCCCACCTACACCATGCGTGCATGGCTGCTAGGGCATCCTGAGGCTTCCTGTCTTCCCCTGCTCAAGCAGGGCTGCGTGGACTGGCACACTGTGGGCATGGGTCCCAGGATAAGGCATCTGCCCGTGCCAGGGAGAGCGAGCAGTCTTAAGGGTTTGCTGGGCAGAAGCACATGCTCTGGTGCTGTGCCCAGGCTGCTCACGCCAACAGCTTCCAGGTCTGAGAAGCTCCCATGTTCCCATTGAGTCTAACCAGTGCCCAGAGCAGGGTGGCCTCAGTCCAGAGCCTGTGGCCCCTGTCCACCTGTCCCAGCTCTGTTCAGCCTTGGTCCTTGCAGCAGAGACTGCAGTGTCCTCAGTAAGCCCGTCCTGAAGTGGGTTCTCAACTCTGGCCTCTGTGGGCCTCTCGGGAACCTGTCACCCCGACCTGCTACCTGACGGCAGCTGGGACCCACAGTGTGCCAAGATGCACTAGGAGCCAGGCAGGAGGCATTAGCTGCCATCAGAGCTCCGAAGGTCAGCCCTGGTGATCTCAGCATGTGGCTCCAGTGGCCAGTGCTGTGCCATGACCCCAAAGCCCACCCCATGCAGCAGGCCATGGTGCAGGCACTTCTGCTTCCGTGCTGGAGTCAGTCCAGACACCATGACCAGGAAGAGTGGCCTCCAGGCAGTGCTGCCACCGTCAGAGAAGGCACTTCCCAGTGTTTATCTGGCCCCCAAGAACGTTGTCACCACATCCAAACTTCCCCATCAAGGACAGTCATGTGGGGTTAGAGCCACCCTGATGAGTTTGTCTTGGTCATGTGAAAGGTCCCCATCTCAAAACTCACATTCAGAGGCACTGGGGTTAGGACTTCCACGTGTGAATCTGGGGAGCCACATGCTTTCCCTGGATGGGACTTTAGTGTTGTGGTGGCAGTGTGCCAACCTCCACATCCATAGGTCAGAGCTCCCAGGACTCCGCCCAGAGGGACAGCTCCCACTGCAGGCCAGCACTGCCTGGGGTGCTCTCAGGTGGAGGCTCTACCGTGGGCCTCACTCACCCCTGGAGAGGGCAGCAGGGGCCTCGCTGTCTAGGTCACTCAGGCCTGTAGCAAGCTGGGCTCCTTCAGAAAGCGGGAGTTGGCGACCAGCCCCTCAGCCTGCTGAGTGAAAGGGCAGCTGGGTCAAGTTGGGCCCTGGCTGAGGTGCAGCGGAGGCAGGCTCCACAGTCTGTCTGGTTCAAGGACAGAGCTGGCGGAGGGGGACTTTGGGTCTGAGCACAGCAAAGCTCTTTAGGGATGAGTGGAGAGAAAGGACCAAGTAGAAGTTTATTGTCAGTGACTGATCACCAGGTGGGGCCCATGTGCCGCTGCTCTGAGAGGAGAGTCCCGGCAGGTGGGAAACAGAGTCAGGGAAGAGCCCACACAGGTGGTCAGAGTCAGCAGAGCAGGAGACTGTGCTGGAGGGCCTGGGGCAGCCAGAGGAGGGCTCACCCTTCCCTGATGGTCACGAGGGCCTGCTAGTGCAGACATCTTCCTCAGGACAGACAGTGGGCACCACCTGCCACATCCCCACTCCCACTGTCTCCCCCAGGCAATGGTCAGGGAGCAGGCTGCCCAGAGCTCCAGCCCACCCGACCTCCGCATGCAGTATCTTCGCCAGATCCATGCTAACCATGAGGTGAGCACCTGTGCAGGGCTGTCCCACCAACCTGGGCATCAAAGAGTGACCCTGGCAGGGCCCCTGTGCAGACAGATGCTCAGCAGGTGCCCAGCCTGGTGGGGCTGGCCTCATCCTCAAGTGTGGGCTTGGCCCTGGGCAGGGCAGCGTGGTGGGGTCGCGCCTCTCTCCTGCCTGCCTCGCTCCACCTGTTCCCCTAGCCACGCCTGCCTGGCTGTGCTGTGTTCCTGGACCACCCACCACCTCCCAGGGAGGGGTCCCAGGGAGAGGCGGAGGGCCTGAGCCATGTTGCTTGCCCCTAGGCACTGCTGCGGGAGGTGCAGGCCCTGCGTGACCGTCTGTGCACGGAGGATGAAGCCAGCTCCTGCGCCACAGCGCAGAGGCTCCTGCAGGTGTACAAGCAGCTACGCAGCCCCAGCCTCGTCCTGCTGTGACCAGGTGGGCCCAGGCCTCCACCCCACTGCCTTCAGCCCTCTCCAGCAGCCGAAAGACCCTTGATGGTTGCTCAGAGAAAGAACACCACGGGTGACTGTCCCAGCCCTGCATATGACCTGGCCAAAGGCACCAGAAAGTGGAGGAAGTCGGTGGGAGGCAGTCCAGGGGAGCCCGAACCTCCGACCTCCACCAACTCACTCTTTCCCTTTCTCCCAACAGCTCTGGCCGCACTCTGCCACACTGCTGGGCACTTTCCACCCCAAGCACTGAGGCTCCCCTGGCAGCATCCTGTCTACTGAAGTTCTGGACCCCCAAGCGGCACTCCATGAGGGACACAGGGCTTCTGGGCTTGGGACTTGGGGTGGGTTCATGACTTGTTGCTGCTATTCCCCCCCCACACCCCGGGAGCACCAGCTGCCCCTCTGGTGCCACCAGGTGGGAGGGTACTCCTGCAACCAAAGCACAGAGATGTGGGGCTCCTGCAGGTGCCAGTGGCTCCTTGCCATACTGATGAAGGGCTATCAGGGTGGCCCGTGGCCAGGAAGCTCAACAGTGAGGTACCATGCCTGAGCTGCACTGTGTGCTGCTTTTAGGGTCACTTGGGGCCAGGGGCTGCAACCCAGCATCCCCACCCCCACCTCTTCCTTCAGCTGGGCAGTGCCCAGTCGCTGGTGCTGTTTTTGCTATGGGCTGGGGTGGCTGTGTGTCTAGACGTCTGTGGAGCGAGCCACTCCTGCTGGGAGCACTGTCGGCAGTGTGCACAGCAGGTGCTGTGAGGTGCTTTGCTGACAAGTGACCCTTCGTGTTGAGCTCAGCTCGTGTTGGCTGTTTTTTTTTACCCCCTCCCCACCCTCCAACAAGCACGCACCCCCAGCTCTGCTGGACTCCTGCCAGAGCTGCTTTCTCCATGGCCCTGGGGCTGGTAGGAGGCCCCTGAACTGGGGGACTCTCCAAGGAAGGGCATCCTCTGCAGCACCCAGGAGCCCTCAACCAGGCTGCTCAACTGAGGGTCTGCTCTGTGGTGCCTCTGGGCGGGCCAAGAGGGGTCCACAGGAGGGAGGCTGAGGTTGGAGGGGCCTGCCTCTATGAGAGCCCGGAGTCTCCACCAGATCTGGCTCTGGTAACAAGCTGGGGTTTGCAGGGAGAGCCACCTGCTCCAGGGCTGATGAGGGCTGGCCTTCTCGGGGGCTCTGGCCTGGCCTGCCCGGGCTTATCTGCAGCTGTCCCAACAGGACAGGCAGAAGCCTCTGGCTCCAACCCTTGTCCAGTGCTCTTGTCCATGTCTTGCAAGGATGAAGAGGCCAGTGCAGCCCCCAGGATGTGCAGGGCCTGTGTTCACCTGCCTTGGAGAAGGGTGACGTGTCCTAGGCTGTCCAGACTTCTGCCTGTCCGACTTGACATCTCCCAGGCCTCCCTTGCCATCGCAGGCTGTGGGGATCCCAGAGCTGACAGGTCTGGACTGCCTGCCAGGCTCACTTCCCCAGACCCCCAGGTCTCAGGAGCCAGAGCAGATGTCCCAAGAGACCACTGCCTTAGAGCAGTGATGCCGTCCAGCCTTGGCAGCCTCAGCTGGGCATAACACACAGACCCAGAATGAGACGCCAGGCCAAGGGGGTTTGGTGTGCCATCCTTGTAGAGCCAGGGCAATGCCCCGCACCGCTGTGCAGGCTGAGGCCACCTCCCAGCCAGGCTGCCCTGCAGGGGTGTTCTTCAGGAGGAGTTACCCGAGGCATCAGTGCTGTTTAGTTATGTGGAAAGGACACTGGGACCAAAGCCACATGGTTCCAGGCTGGCTGACAGTGGGGGACACCACAGACCATGGGGCACGTTGAGTCTACCTGCCCTCCTGGCCACTCAGCTTCCCCATGTCTGGCCCTGCAAGGGTTAACTGATCTGCCCAACACTTGCCCCAGGGATAGTCCCTCTGGACCTGAACAGGGGCAGACCCTTGTTCCTGGAACTGGGCAGATCCCAGTCCTCGACTCCTCCCCTAGGACTCTGCTTGGTTCCTTCCTCTTTGGCCTGCATGTCCTCACTTCCCAGAGCCTGTGCCCCCGCTCCCAGGGGACCCTCTCCTCAGCCCAGACTCCTACCCCTCATTAGGCATCACCTGTCCTTGGGCAATGGACTCATTGGAGGACACTCCAGGCCCCAGAGAAGGGCAGGGACTGCCTAGGTCAGCTGCAGGGGTTTGGGGTGTGTCTCCTGAAGGAGGATCTGTGTGCCTAGACATGGTGGCACCTGGGGCAGGTGCGGAAACCAGAGGAGGCCCAGGGTGGTAGCTGTCCAGGTCATGGGGCTCTCTCCTCTGGATTCCCAGCCATGGCCCTTTCCCTGAGATGGATGGGGGAGAGAAGGGTGAGTGGCCCACTGCAGGAAGTTGTTCCTGGACAGAGGATGCAGGGAGGGACTGCAGCGGGCCAGGGACAAAAGTGCCAGTGCTCAGCGACCCTGCCCCGCAACCCTTCTGACCCCCCGGGGGGCACCCGGAGCTCACAGCAGTTGTCAGACAGGCGGCTTAGAACGCGCGCCCGCTGGTCCTCAGTACTCCCAGAGCGCGACCGCGGAGGGCGCATCGGCGTCTGCGCGGAGCAGCCCCGAGGCGCCGCCGCGCAGGTACTTGCCGCTGCGCGCACGAATGGCCAGGCGGCCGCGCTCGCGAAACTCGAAGAGAAAGTCCTCGGCGCTCTCGCCGTCGCTGCACACGCTGCCGTGGCTGCCGGTGTACCAGAACCCGCCGCCGCGGCCTGGGGCGGGGACGGGGCGTCGGCGTGGTCCACCCCCCACGCGCCCCCCCCCGTGCCTGTGCGCCCGCGACCCCGGTGTGTGCCCCACTCACTCCTGCGCACCTCGGATCTGATAGGCGCCGTCGCTGAAGCTCAGGTGGAAGACGTCGTAGACAGAGCGGTTGGTGTCCAACTGGTTGGAGCCTCGGCGGTGGCAGACGAAGCCGTCCAGGCCGCGCAGCACCAGGATGGGCCGGTTGATGAGCTTGAGGATGAACTCCTCGTCCTCGCCTGCAGGAGAGGGCGCTGTGGAGCCGCCCTCCCAGCCCCTTCCCTGTCCAGGCACAGTCCTGCCCAGATCTGCCATTGCCTGGTGCGCAGCCTTGGCAAGGTGCCTAATGCCGTGGAATCTAGGAGTCTCCAATTGTGCAAGGAGTCGAGGAGGTTCCCAGGGTTCCCAAAGGTGCGATGGAGAAAACCAGACCCTCTGGGAGCTAACTGTCCCCTGGTGGATTACCCAGATTAGGATGACTTGCCCTGGCAGCAGCAGCTCCCCTGAGAGAGGGGAGAGGGCCTGTGTGCAGGCACCGGCCTGGGTGGAGAGCCTGCCCCCAGCACCTAGGAGGCAGGAATGCTCACCCACAAAGTCACTGATGGCTGCCAACTGCCCGTTCTTCTTCATGCACACATAGCGCCCATTGCTGGCTTTGAGTGCCACCCGCCGGCCACGCCACTCCACCTCAAACATGGTGCTGGCAGAACTGAAGGGAACAGGGCAAGGTCCCCTCAGTGGCAAGAAATGGGGGTGCGGGCCTCCCCTTCTTCCTCAGGTTCCAGGGCCCTCCACCGACACCACCATTAAGAGCTGCCCCATCCAGGAGGCGTTCTTCCCTGACTGGGCTCCAACAGTGGTCCTCAGGGTTGAGGTAGCAATGATGGTTGGTGCAGTGTGGGGGAGGTGACTGTGGTGGCAGCGATGGTGGTGATCTTAGTGGAGGTGACGGTGTGATGGGGATAGGGGACACTCACACTTGTGTGGCTGTGGCCTGAATGCCCCCATGGGTGACCAAGGTCCAGTAACCTCCAGTGCTGGAATAGAAGGTACACTTCTTTGTGTCCTGATCAATTTGCATCAAGAAGGTCTCGTGGTCTAGCTCTTCATCCTGATTGGCTGAGACGTTGACCCCTAGAGGGAGGAGATGGGGAAGTCCCTCACAACTCTCCTGGGGGGCAGGGGTTGAAGAGGCATGCTGGGGCACCCCCAAAGCCAGAGAGTCTCATCTAGAACCTCTGGATTTGGGAAGATCTGGAAAGCGCCTGCCGGGACCATGAGGCCCGGGCTGCTCCCACACAGGGCCCCTAGCTCTTCCCCAGGAAGAGGGCTCCTTCCGTGCCGGCAAATCTCCCACGCCGCTAATCAGCGGGTAATCTGCTTGCTCCCGCTCTCTTGACCCAGGACTTACACCAGCTTCTATTTATAGCTCATTTCTAAGCTGCCAGGTGGGCACAGCAGGGTTTTTGCCCTACCCCATGTATGGACCCAGGTCACTGCCAATGCCTAGGGACCAGGAAGACCCCCATACGCACATATGCTTGGTCTCCCAGGAGCCCTAGAGGTCAAGGCTGCCCAGGGCTCTGCTGGGGTTCCCAGAAGAGGGCCGAAGGGGGCACTCTCTCTGGGCTGCCAACAGCCCCAGGCCTGGAGCCTCCCTGGGATCTGCCCACCCATGGCACCTCCAGCTCCCTCCCGAATACTGCATCCCAGTTCCCATGGCGACTGGGCACTCAGTGGTATGACAGGCTGCAGACCCCATGAGGCCCAGGGGTTCCAGTGTGGGCAGCTGGGGAAGGGGAGGAGTAGTGGACAGAGCCCTACCCAGTCCGGCCCCTGGGAGGAAGGGCATCAAGCAGCAACCCCTAGGGGAGAGCCTGGGTCTGCTCCTTCACTGGTGTCCAAAGGCCACCCCTAGGCCAGGTGCGACTCACACTCAGGTCACAGCTCTGGTGCAGAGAAGCAATTGGAAGGGGCCTAGCATCTTTGCCACTGTCCCCACCACCACCAGCTCCCTCATCCCAGCCACAAATACTGAACTGAATGGGCAGCACCTCTGTGACTGGCTGTGAGCCAAACATGGCCCTTGTCCTCATATGCCTGGGCCTGGTGAGCAGAGGACGAGGATATCTAGTGAGGGGTATGAGCCACTGTGGGAGACGGCGACAACTGGCCTCCCTGTGGGGACTGAGAAAGAAGCCAGGTCAAAGGACTGGCTAGGCAGGTCGAGTGGCCCACTGCGGCTGTCTCCCAGGCCAGGAATACCGGTGTGTCCTCCCACGTCACTCCACACACCACACTTAGGCAGGATGCTGTCCGACATCTTTCTGGACACACAGTCACCTGCTTCTCGGAAGCTGACCTCACAGTGGGAGGGACACAGAGTTCAAGTTGGTATGGTGATGTTGGTCTTACCCTACTCTGGGGGATTGGTTGAGCCAAGCAGTGTTCAGTCCTGACCAATGAATGTAAATGGGGTATCTGCTAGGATTTAGGGGAGATATTTTACTCCTAAGAAAACAAGAAGGGCCAGTGATGCTTTTTTCTCTGGATTTTGTCTTGTCTGGATGTGAGGCCTGGAGTTGCAGCAGCTATTTTGTGAACATAAAGTCAGCATTGAGTCAGGAGAGTGGTTCGACAAGGAGGTAAGAACAAAGGCCCTCGGTGGTACCACAGAACTGACCATGGTGCCCTTCCAGGAATCGCACCTTCCCTGAGGCCTCTGGACTCCACTTATACGTGACAATCATGTCTTTCTGACACCAGACAGTCTGGTCTTCCTGCTGTGCTACCCACCAGCACTGCCATACCAGAGAGGGCAGACAGACTGGCTGGCAGGCTGATGGAGGAGGGAAGGGAGATCATCAGAAGAGAGAGGAGCACACTGGGTGCTCTCACACCCCTCCAGGGCGAGGAGACAGCCCAGGGTTCTGCCTGGCCATGGCCCTGCCCTGCCGCCACTCCAGGACATAACCGACAGGAGATGGGGCAGAGCTCACTGCTGCCCTGCCTGGAAGTCGAGGCACCTGCTCCCCA